AAATAAATGAATAAAAAAATATATGATTAGGCAAAAAGTTATGTGGAGCACAAACAAATTTTACAAATCTACAATTGAGTATCTACAAAATAAGGAATAAAATACACAAGTCTAAAACATTATTATTTTTTTTAATTGTTAACCTTTAAAAGTATATTAAATAAAAGTTCTATGCTGGAATGTTATGTTGTAATTTTATGCTATTAATGAATTCTTTCAAATGCTTCTTGTATTTTTTGTATAGTATGGGAAGAGGCCATGTGTCTCCTTGCGTCAAAGAGGATTTCAGGAAGATGGGTTTTTTGTGTTCGTATAACTGGCAGTCGTTTAAAATGTGTATGAAAGTTTGTGGAGACAGTCCGTCACAATCGCATCCATCTGTCGCTTTTAAGTGGAATCTGTTCAGATATTGGTTAGTCGGACCGTGTTCAGTAAGGAATTGGGTTAGTTTATACTGGGTGCTTTTTGTTGTATTGCAGTTTTGAGGGGTGGTATTTGAAATGTATTTATGTAATGGTCGTCCTTTGGTAGATTGTTGCCAATGTCTGTTCCACTCTTCGATTAAATCAGTCCATAAGTTTTTAACGTAAGTGAAGGGGGCTAAATTATATTCATAAGGCAGTTGAATATCACAAGTATATATATATATATCATGTAAACCAATGTATCCAAATGTATGTTGTCTTATATACAGATTAAGAGCAGTGTAATATTGAAAATTGCGAAAAGTAAGTTATTCTGTATAGTATCAGAGTTTAATCGTTAAATTATAATTGTTCTACCCTTTGAATGGTTGAAGATAATATGGTAAAGTAATAGACAAGGTTACTGGGCTAGCTAGATGCGTAGATGGTCTATTTATTCTTTTATTTAGCAATAAGTATGATATTCCATGTTAAACTGTACAAACCTAGACGAAAAGGTAAAAAATGAACGATATATCGGCCTTTTTAATATCGGTATCGGCCGATCTCTACTTTCAATAACCAGGACATATGAATTCCGTAACACTCCGCTGTCTTGAATATTTCCACATTTCTGAAAAGCAAAATAACTGAAAATGGTCATAAAAATTAAATTATATTATTTCTAAAAATAAATACAGTTGGCCGAGTAATGGAAAACCTGCGACATCGGCTAAAAAAATAATATTCTAAAAACTAGATAAACTGTTTAAATACCTTGGGCAGTTTGTGAGAATATTTTTAGTTGGTAGAATGAACATTTTATACTGTTTTTAGTAAATAGTTCAATTGAAAACCTAGTTAATTTGTGGAATTTCGCGTGGTAGGTAAAATTGCTTGTTTCGAGCTGATGGTTGATAATTTTTTCTTGAAACTTTATAAACTTTTTACTGTCATTCTGCTTAAATAAAAAAAAATATATAATTATTTATAAAACTTGTTTTACTTCGAATCTTTTTTGTTAACAAAAATACGTGTTTTTAAATCAAATTTTTACAAATAATGAGATTTAAAAAAACTTCTGATATCCCCCAGAAAATTGATTTCTTACAACTTTTCAGCAGTCATTGTTAAAGATAAATTCATATTAATTTAAACCGCTATGGTCTGCCCAAAGGTAGCTGAAATATATTTAAAATTATTTTCGTATGTATAAATGTTCGAACAATTTCTAGGTATGTACTAATATCTTCTATAACATGCTTCCAAATTTAGTTATATGAATTGTATTGAACATAAAGAAAACAATGTTCTGTAGTAATTTTTTTTTTTTAAATACTCATACCAAAACAATAACAAAACATTTACATTATATATTAAATCTTCATCTTCATTGTTTTAAAATTTTAATTTTTTCTGTCTAGATAAGTTAATTAAATAACTGTTTATATAATTCTTTTAACTGTATATAACCATCCTTTATTTTCACTCTAATCTAAATAAATAAACACAAGACCGTTAAATGAACTAAAATTTAAATATAATCTTTAAAACCAAAGAAAAAATTAGATATTCTTTTCATTGGAAAATGTGAGGAAGTATCGACGGTGTTCAAAATTTCAATAAATTTTTTTGTAATAAAAATAAAATAAAATGCGCAGTTATAAACTTACATTTATTTGTTTGATAAGTAGAAGCGGGCTTACCCCTACCTATTTAAGTGGAGACAGCCAAGGTGGGAAGGCAGGTATAGGTATCTCATCCATAGTCAAAGAGTTAATCTGGCATGGAACTATATTTGTTGCAAATGTTCGGCATTTTACGAACCATGATTACCTGTCGATCAACCTTCCTAACATTTTTGGAGACGGATTTCCATCAGTTTATTACAAACTAACTGCTGCATAACAAAAATAAGCCTTATAGCATTCCAGTTCCTACAGACATGTCCTTAAGGATAACCTAGAGCTTGAAGGATCGCCCATTTAGAATGGACTGCCGTAACCAAGATATTCTTAATTCGAACTAGTGGCTTGGAATAAAAAAACTTTTCTCCACCATTTCTATACTTCTTATAATCAGTAACCTCGCCAAACTTCGTCTCAATCCCTCAAGTGTATGCCATTACAAGTAGTGCATTAGTCAGTTTTAAAACATGTAAACCAAAAAGGCCAGCATTTCATCATCTTTATAATGAGGTATTATTTATAATTTTAATTTTATATTAATAATCTTGCCTTGTTGATGTTTTCACTTCTATTGTGTGGTCTTCAGTGATTAAAGTGTCGTCTCAGGAAACCCTCTTGAAAAGGGGTCCTTGGGAAGGGGCTCAGCTTTAGACTCTAGCCGTAGCTACACTGGACCTATTTATATGTTTAACTACTTATATATACTTATCTAATTATTTTTACATATCTTATTCAATTTAATCCAGTTTTTAGAAGTTAATGTGCTATTTTTCTTATCATTAGTATCTTTTTATTTTTTGAATGTTTTTACTCATAGCTAAACAAACTCAAAATTTCTCAATTTCAAGTCTAATTTAGAGATATTTAACCTTAGTCATAAAGATAAAACCTTATTTTCTTTTGTACCAATATCACCCACAGAGGATCTTGGGTTCATACTTGGTAAGTAAGTACTGTTTCTTGGTCAACGGTTGTGCAAGGAGGTGATTTGACTGAGAATGTTGAACTCCCAGGTTTTCTTCATTAATTAATTCTTTTATTAAGAGTACCAACTTTTTAGAGACTGGATATGTATGCACCAAGAGGGTTTCCTAATACCAGGGTCGATCCATGGTTAATGAAATAATAAATAATTATCTACCACAACTGGATTTGGACCCGGGACCAAGAGCACCTTACTCGTTGAGCTGCACCTCTTTCCCTTGTAGTAGTGTAATGCTATTTTACAGTTGATATTGACTTAAATTTTAAAGTATACAAACTTAACTCATAGTTTAACGATAAACCTTTATTCCTCCTCCTAATTTATAAATAACTGATATAACAGTGTTACAGAAGTTATTTTACCTATGGGTTAATAGTTGAATAACTGCAAGGATAGTAGAAGAAAATAGTCTTTTAAGATCATTTCTTAAACTATTAATAAAAATATAAAGATGCTTATTGAATACTTGATAGTTGACCATGGTATATTATTGAGTAAGAAGATGGTCCGTGGTGGCGGTCATAAAAAGACTAAAATAGTAACAAACTATTTCATTTAAAGCCAACGTTGCGACCCGGCTTAGCAGGTCTTCTTCAGGGGGTTGTATGCAGAAGGGAATTCTGGTTGAAAACTAACAGCAAGGGTCTTGAAACATTGGCTTTAAATAAAATAGTTTGTTACTATTTTAGTCTTTTTATGACAGCCACTCAGGACCATCTTCTGACTCAATAAAGATGTTTAGAACTAACACTATTTTGACCAACCAACACATGTTGGATAAACAACTAAAATATATTAATGGTTATATGATTAGCACAAGCAATTGAAATAAGGAAAAGTAATAGAAAAATGTTTTATTAATGAATGTAAACAAAAACATTTACAAATATATGTACAATGCGCGTTATAAAAACCATACAACTTACAAATATTTATGATAACTAATAAAGATAATAATATGTATTACATATTATTAATTATAGTAAAATCATACAATAAGTTTTTCTTTATATAAAATTTACAAAAACAACAGCTTTTATTGGGTAATCTATTAAATATTAATGAAATAATATCAAGTGATGGTCTCATGAAGGATGGAAAGATAAAAGGAAGTTAATTTAGTCCAGATATCCCACATACATGGATCCTCAAAAATTTCCACACACACGAATCTACACCCACACACTTTTAGCTTCGAAACGCAGACACAGGAGCAAGAGGGGAGAGGCCTGGCAGTGGTTTGAAAAACCTTACATACAAAAACACACACACTTCAGCCATTCTATATATATATATATCTATACTGTACAAGATGCCCAAAAAAATATATATATAATTTTTTTTTAAATAATAAATAAAAGTAGTTTATTTTAAAAAAATAATTTGCTGCTAGATGCAGCAATTTAATTCAAATGAATGAGGGGAAGACTGGTTGGAGAAATTTAAAAAAATAAAGATAGTAACTACTATAAACTTTGGGCATTTTTATTCTAATATTTACATTTTTACAATTTTTTTTAACATTTTAATTTAGAAAATAGTAATTAATATTCTTTTAAAATTACCATGAAAAAAAGTCACTGAAATACAATTATAAAAAAGTCAAAAATAAACACTTCTTAAATAAATTGAACAAAATATACATAGCTTATCGGCCCTTAGAGAGCACGAGGTTTCTTTTATATTGTACTCTGATTTGGATAAAAGCTTTGTATATTCAATTATATAGGTCACAGAGAGGTATTAATTAATTAAAAACAAATGGGCTCCCAAAAAATTTGATTTAGAGACCCATATTAAATTCTTTAACATATAAATTGGTGGTGGTGCAAAAATTCACCATAAAACAAAAAATAGAATAGGCCAAATGTGTTACATAACAGAAAAATAAAGATATTTGAAATACAAACATATTTGCGGTGCTCACCGCATATTATTGTTAAATGTTAAGTTTTTCAGAGGTCCAAGGGGTAATAAATTGGATGCTCCCATTCCTCCTAAAAAAAAAAAAGGTTGATAAATCATTTTATAACAAAACAATTATTTAAAAAAAGTTATAGGTAAACCTCTAGATTGGGAAATAAACTATAATATACCTAGTTCTGCCATAAATACTGTTACAAAAGTTGAACTTTGTTTACATCCTTGGGTATTATTTAGATAATCCTTACCTCTATCAGGTTATTTTCTTTACATGTCAGGATAATAATCCCAATTAGTTTGTATTTTTCTTTTGCTCAGTTAACATGGAGTGGGGAGATAAAGAAAACTGAATAGCTGTGATAGCCAAACAAAAAGTAGGAAATATAGGTCAGAGATTTTCAACAGTTTGTAACCTTTGGGCATCAGCAGTATATTCTTGTACCACACTATAAATAGATATAGTGAGACCCTATCTGTATGTGACAGACCTTGACTGGGCCGTCCCCATACTGTGAGAACGGCAAATGCAGTGAGAGCATTGGCTGCTCGAATCAGAAGGAATCCCATTCGAAAACAACAAATCACGTCTCGGGAAATGGTAATCTCTGCCAGGTCGATGTCTAGCACAATAAAAAGTGACCTTAGGATGGGTACATTTCTAAGAATGACAGTAAAAAGGCTAATCACTTCCCAAAAAAAAATTAGAGTGGATAAATGCAAAGTGCTCCTTGGCCGTTACACCAATGGTCTTCATCAAAGATTTTGTTTAGCGATGAGAAAAATTTAATCGCCAAAAAGATCGTGAGTACGCACACAGCTCTAAAGAAGCCCAGGAAGTCATTGGAAGAGTGGAAAGAGGTCATCATCCTTCCTCAGAGATAGTTTAGGGAGTTTGCTTTGATGGCACAACAAAGCTTCATTTTTGTGGAAAAGAAGTTATACAGCCGCTAAAAACTATTAGGACGATATTTTGGCACCTGTTGTCAAGCCTCTAAATGATACTGTGTTTGCTGGAAGTCATTGGGTTGTCCAACAGATTTCTCCCTCCAGCTCACAAGGCCAGGTCAACTCAGCAGTGGCTGCAAAAGAACATTCCAGAGTTTATCTCTGCCTTGTTTTGGCCATCAGGAAGCCCTGATCTCAGCCCACTGGATTATCAGCTTTGGTCCGAACTGGAGAAGATGGCATGCCACAGATCACACCCTAACTTGGAATGTATCAAACAATCTCTGGTCCGAGCAGTTGAGCGCTTGCTTCTTGCTGCTATTGATGACTGGCCATGGAGATTAAATGCCTGTCAAGGCAGAAGGGGGATATTTTGAATAATTTCTTTTTTGTTTTACTCACTATAGATATACAGTTTTAGAAAAAATTAATTTTTTTGTCGAAATCTGTATATATATTTCCTAGTAGCAGTATTTATGACAGGACTAGGTATATTGTTCTGCCAAATAAATAGCTGTTGGAAAGTGAAGTAAATGTGAATAAATGATGAAATTGTTTATTGGAAAAAATAAGGATGAAAACATCCAGCAATGCGCAACATCACTCCCTCAGGTTGATGGCACATGAACCACCTCCCTCTCTCCAGAAATTTTATTGTTTTCCCTCTTCTTAAAAATAGTGTAAGAAAAAGTAGAATTAGAAAAATCATAGATTATATACAATTACACTAGCTCTTTTTTCCTAAAATTCCATACCTTCCATACCATGCCTTTTAGGCTATACAGGATTTTTCCGGACCGGAGGGTGGGGGCGGGAAATTTAAAATCCCCTCCGGCACCCGGACACAAACTCCTACTTTTTAATCTTCTCAAAATCTGTTATCCGGTTGCCAGGCAACTTGCAGTGCTGTGCACACGCTTAAGCCCATTCGGCCACCCCCCTCCCCCAATTACGCTAGCTGTGTTATCTCCCACATTTTCTCCCTAGATCTCTGATTTGAAACTTTTCACTCTGAAAATTCATAACTCTGCAGAAATGTGGCTCCCTCAAAAATTCAAATTCCCATCAAAATGTGCCACCTCAAAAATTTTGATGGCAAAACTTGCACCATGAAACCCCTAATGGGCACTCCTGAAAACATCTATAGTGTGATTTCTCAGGTTAATTGTAAAAAAAGTTACAGAAAAACAAAACAAAATCTTAATATTTTTACATTTAATGTATAAATTATATGATCTTTTTATGTTAGATTTAAAATTTATTACTTTATCTTTTAGAAATACACACACAAACACATTTCATCGTTAGAGTATCTGTAATTCAATCCTAAAAAAATGTCATACCTCTAATTATTATCAATTATTAACTTTGAAAAAATATTTAATGGGATTTGGATGTGTTTACCATGTTTAAAATATGAATATACATGTATTATTCTTGTTTTCTTTCTGAATCGGGGTAACATGTCAGTCTTTCCTAAGTTTGAATTTTTTTCTTTTGAAAAATTGCATTAACATCAACATGACTCCTACCTATTCACACAAACATTGGCATTGATTAAGGATAATTTTTTTTCTGGGCTCCTAAAATGCATTGACAATCATTCTTAAGACACATGTCAAGTATTTTTCGACCTAGTGCCACCAAGTTTCATTGAAATCGTGATATAACTTTCCCTTTTTAGAAATAAGTTTGGGAGGTCCTCCCCTTCCTTGCCGTTAAGGCTATAAGGGGTTTTCCCGGGCCAGGGGTTGTGGTCGGGGATTTAAAAGACTCCCTCGGCACCAAGAAGCGAACTCTTGACTATTTTTATATCGTTTGAGTCATATATCAGGTTGCCAGGTAACAGCGATGCTGTGCACACGCGTAAGCCCATTCTGCTACCCCGCCCACATTCTTTACTTTACTTCTGGCATTCCAACAAAGAGTTGCCTCAATAAGTCAGCACAGAGTCCATCTGTCGATTCACTGGCAACATCTTTCCCAAGAAGCATTCTTAGCTTTTGTCCCCAACTCTTTTACCTCCCAATTTAGGTTTCTTCTATTTCCCACCCAGTCATCTCTGCTGGTGGAAGAAAGATATTTTCCATAAGCTAGCTTCTTTTCTCTTATCAACTGGGCTACTTCCTGTGTCCACCAATCTGGCACACAGTGCTCCTCCTCCTCACTAAAAGTCTCTCTTGCTGCTAAATGGACACATTCCCTCATATGGCCATATTTCTCTTTTGCTGTTCGCCCATAAGAAAGGTCTATCTTCTCATCCAACCTCCATTAGTATAGGGTCTTAACATCAGCCAGAAACAGCAACTTGTACTTAAAAGTGTTCAAAACACGTGCATCCCGTTTCTCCTTGCTGTTATTAGTCACCCTCCAGGGAACATAATTTTGGCTCTCAGCATGTGGTGGTCATTACCACACTTCCATCCTCTGAAAACCCTCGCATCTTTCACCTTTGTGATGCAGTAATCCAACATCGAGGGATAAAATCTTAGCTTACTCCACGCGTTTTGATGGATTTTCTTATGCCTGAAAAAGATGTTCTGAATTTTTAGATCGAATGACTCACAGATACCTATTAGCCTCTGACCATCATCTGTCACAATTTTTTCACCAAAATATCCAACTAACCCGCAACAGACTTCCTGCCCTACCCTCGCGTTGAAATTCCCAGCAAGGATGATCTATGCATTAGGGCGCACTTTTTCTAAGGCTTCCCTCAAACTCTCCTCCAAACTATCTTTACTCATCTGAGATTCATGGTTTCCCAGTGCATATAATTACTTAACATCTGCCCCAGAGGTTGAGATCTACTTCTATCAGCCTCTCAGAAATTTCCTCTCCAGAAAGTGATTGATCCTGTTCTTTAACTTTTTCTTTACCACCATAACACATTAAAAATTCAATGTTAAATTTCTCATTTTCTTATATTAAGCAAATTGATTCATTTTTCTTTAGTTTTTAGTAATTCATTCAAAATTTATTTTCTTCTTCTCTCTTTTCCTTCCACCTATTTGTCTCTCAGGGTCGAGGTGTTACTAGCCATGGGTGCCAGATGTTTTGGTCCTTCACCAGGTTCCTCATCTCTCGGGCAGTAATTTATTGTCATCTACCAATCCCTGTGATGTGACCCAAGTAGGATAATTTATTTTTTTTTCAAACTTAATTTTTTTCAATTACATTTACTTAACTTAATGAATGGCTATATGATTTTTTTTTAATTTTCAGAAGCAAAACAAAATCTAAATAGTTTTAAAACATGGAATTCTCTAAAACATTGAGAATGAGACCAAGATCAATGATCTAGAAAAAGGGGAGGATTAAGCTATCCCATAGGATCCCGCAGCAGCCCCAAGGTCTTAAAATATTCTAAGAATTCGAAAAACAAAATGTTATATTCATGACTTCTAAGTTTTTTTTTTTTTTTTTTTTGGTCTCTAACCACTTGTAACCACTTAGGGCCCCATGTAAACGCTTTGATCTACCCCTGGCCCTGGAACTAGGAATGAAATAGGCAGATTTTCTTTTTGTAATTTATATTTTGTACTATCATTATTATTTAATTTAGTAAGAACTAATAAAATATTAATGTTATAAATCAAAATTCATGTAATACATAAATATTTATGAATACTGACATACCTATATTACAAATTGCTGGATTTGAAGCTGAATCAACAGCAACAACAGGGAGTCCGAACATTCCACCACCTGAGCCAGTGTGGAGCTGTGCTAGAGGAATTACTGATCTTATACCTAAGGCTGCTAATCTTGAAAGAACACCAACCTAATATCCAAATATCAGTATGATTAGAGAACATAAATATGAATAAGATAGCTATTTTTAATTAAACAGAAAAACACCTGTTTTAGGTCTACTATAGGAATTGCCATGTCAGGTGAAGGTCCACCTGCACCATGATATTTCTGCCGATGTGCTTGAAGTCCAGCTTCAGTGGGATATTGAGCTGTACATTCCCGGCATCTATAAAAATACATGCACCTTATAAACATTTATAATAATATGAATTCAAATTATCAATTTTTAACTTTGAAACCTGTGTATCTAAATAAATAAAAAAAACCTATACCACTACAACCCATTAAGGGTCTTGGGTTCAGTCTTATGTAGGGAAGGTACTGTGTCTTGATCAATGGTTGTACAAGGAGGTGATTTGACAGAGATCACATCCAACCGCTATATATTTTCCCCCTTATTATATATGTTATCCCTATTGTTATAATTATTTAATGAAGGATACCTACTTTATATAGGCTGGAGTATGCCCCAGGAGGGTCTCCCAACCCCAGGGTCGGGTAACCCTCCCCAGGGGGGGTTGGTTAATTATTGTTAGCCAATAAAACAATAAATAATTTATCTGTCATCAGCCGGACTCAAACCTGGTTCCTTGAGCAGTGGGAAATCGGGGCCCTACCACTGAGCTATCTCAGTCCCCTTATATCTAAATAAGTCACATTTTTCAGCACAAGGAAGAGTCCAATTTTCAGAAACTGATTTTTCAAAAGGACCACAAACATCAACATGAATTCTTTAAGTAAACTTACCAATTTTAGACAGTCAAACTTCAATCAATGGAAGGACTTAACTATTAGACACACCTTCATCAGAGTTGAAAATCAAAAAGCTTTTGCTATTTTATTTGAAAATTTATATTGATTTTCATCCCAAGCACTCATTTAATGATCTTAGAATGCCTAAAGCATCAAGTTAAAATTGTGACCTAAGAAACACTTACCTAATTTAATAATGGTACACATATTGTAAATATGTACTTAAAATGTCAAGTTTGTATTTTCAATGTTCTAATTGTACATTATAAATATTGTCCATAGTTGAAATCTATTGTTACCTGCTTTTATTATAGAACTTTCAATTTATATTTCTCAGTTTTATTATTCTTATATTTCATTAATAACTTTTGATAAATTTTCTTAATTTTTTTTAAATTTACTCAATAGTTATTAAAAATTTGTTTTATTTATTTTTCACGTTAGCTTTCTGGTTTTATACTAATGCCATTTATTTCATTTCCGAGTTAATTCAAGTGAGGCTAACTTGATTTGTAATGAGTTAGCATAAACAAATGAAGAAATACAACCAGTAGATGCTAGAATTTCTTTTCTTTTTTTCAATAGGAAAAAGAAAAGAAACCAGATACTGATATCAGAATAGATTGTTTATTTTTTTTTAATAAGGAATTGAATTATAAAAATTAGGAAGTACCTTCATAATATAATAATAATAATTTATTTATTCTGGGACAAGTCCCTTTAGAATAATGTACAGAGATATAAATGTGGGCTTTGGAGCCTCAGAGAATAATTACAAAATAAACAATTTATATAATAAATAAATAATATTTACCTTCAATTAAAATTAAAATAAAATGAAATAAAAGTATTTAAAACAAACTAATTATTTATATACATATTTACAACTATTTACAATTATATGAGAACTGAACGGATAAGAGGTGATTGAATAGGCGGGATTTTGTATACAAATCTGAAGACCGGGAACAGGTTTTGCGGGAGTGGACAGAGGATTTGAACTGAAGGAGCTATTAGATGTATGAAGGATGGCGGCATTGGATGATTTGGAAGCCTTCCTCTTCCATGCTAGGAAATACGTTGGTAGGAAGGATAAAGCTATTTTAGCTCTTCATAATAACGGGAAATAGAAGCGTCCCTTGGGATCTCGAAGATGAATCGTACAAGGCAATTTATCAAACGTTTTAGTTTCACCTCGAGATCCCTGGAGACCCTCCCCATACAATACAGCAATAGTCGAAGTGAGGAAATATTAATGAAGTAATAGGGAGTTTACGGGTTTTAAGTGGAAACAGGTGGCAGAGGTAATTTAGTCGTTTTAAAATGGAAAAGGCATGGCGGGAGATATCAGTTACATGGTTTTTCCAGGAAAGGGTTTGATCAAAGGTTATTCCAAGGCTCTTAATGGTGGGATAGAATTTGATGGGATTATCGTGTAGGAATAGGGTTGGTATGTTAGGAAGAGTTTTAAGGAGGTGACTGGAGCCTATCAAAATTGCCTTGGTCTTCTCGGCATTCAACTTCAACTTGTTCGCATCCGCCCAGTCACAGATTCTATTCAAGTCCTCTTGAAGTTTTTTTGTGGCCCCTAATAGGTCAGAAGGAGAGGAGGACAGGTATATTTGAAAATCATCTGCATAGATATAGTATTGGGAGTGATGGATCAGAAGAGGAAGATCATTAATGTAAATAGCAAACAGAGTAGGAAATAAGGAGGAACCCTGAGGGACGCCACAGGAGAAGGGAAGTGTCTTAAAGGTAGGTTGATCTTGGACGACTAAATACTATAATCTATTTAATAGGAAGGATTTAAACCATTGCAGGAAACTGTTGGATAAAAGAAGATGTTGCAGTTTAGTAAGGAGAATGCTGTGGTCAAGTGTGTCAAAAGCTCTGGAGAAATCTAGGAGAATGAGGAAAGTAAGTTTTTTGTGTTCTATGGAGTTTTGGAGGTCATGGGTTACTTTTAGGAGGGCAGATTGGATTAAGTAACCAGGACAAAAAAAAGCCAGATTAGACAGTATATATACTTACTCATAAGCTAATTTATTGGTCATGCCACCACCTCTGTGACAAACCATGTGCTGTGATAATTCACTTGGTGTAGGGAAAGCCTTATCACAGATTTGACAAATTGAGCGGCTAGTAGGACCGCACATTCGCACCCCACGATTCAAAGTCCTTCTGTCACAAATGATAATTATCTATATATTAACCATATAAAAAGACCTAAAAGAGAAATTTAAACAAAACAGTAGAAAAATCCATCAAATAAAAATATGCCTTCATTCATATATGGTTAGGTATGGATTCATCCTTAAAAATATGTTGTATCAGAACTTAAAATTTTGCTTAAATCTTTAAACAATGAATTTTATAAAAAAATATTAGTTTTTATTTATACTATATGTAACTAACTTATTGCTTAACAAAAAGTTTTTTATATCTTAAAGAATTAATTTTTTAGTATATTCTAAAATTTATAATTAGTTGTAATTAATATTGCAATTGAAAAACTACATATTAATCAACAAAATTCGCTGAAAAAAGATTAATATATAGAATGATTGAAATATTAATATATCTCATAGAAAACCCAATTAGTTTTTTTTTTTTTTTTTGTTGTTTAAAAGAGTATCAAAAGTAATTTTCAAGAGTATTACATTTCATTACCATTTCGTCAATCACTATATACATTTTTTTTTATCACACCTTTATTTTTCATCCTGCTTTTAAGACCTTTTATTAAGTAAAACTTCAATTTGATTCAAATTTATTTCTGTTTAGGAGACATGTTCACAATGAGACAGAAAAACATTAACTGAATGAAAATGATAAATTTACTCCAGACAAAGAATGTGATTAAGAAAATGGGGCTCCTGAGGGATATCACAATTGCTTATTTTTTTAAATTTAATTATTACCCATTCTTGTGAACATAAAATTTCCAAAACCTCAACTGAATTCAGTATATATATAATATATATATATATATATATATATATATTATATATATATATATATATATATACACTGATATAAATATTCAGAAAAAATAAAAAATTAATACCTTCTTGGAGTATCAGATTCTTTTGTGAGATCAACAGTTGGTAGTTTATTCATTGGTGCTTTGGGAGCTGGTGAGATAAAACCCTTTTAACATAAAAATAACATGTAACATTCAAAGCTAAGAAAATGTTCAAATATGTACACTAATACAAAAAAAAAAAAAAGAAAAGGTTATTCAGAATCATAAGTACAGTGTGCAAATTGATATCAATAAACTAAAAACTAGCCTGATTTTTATTTATCTGAAGAGAAAACAAAAAAAGTTTCACTAATGGTAGGGTTATATTTTATATACAAAGTTGCAAAACAAAATTTATGTTTGTTTGTTGACAGACTAAGGGATGTTTTATAAATTAGGTATAAAGTTAAGAAAGAAAGAATCGTCTACCATTAAAATCAAAATGGTTTAATTTTCTAAAAATGATGCCCTGAAATTTTCAAAATTTGAAGTTTGTGAGGAAGCAAAGTTGACAGCAAGAGTAGGAGGTCCTTGTGTTGCAGGCAGAGTACGCCTCTTTGGCTATAAATACACAACTAGCTTAACCAGCCAGTTTAATCATGGCAATGCAATGACTCCGTATGTCAAGACCTCCTCCAGCAGTTATTGTGGTAAAAGAAAAATAAAGGTAATACATAGAAATAAAACCAAGCATTACTGGAATAATAAATAGGCTGATTGGTGGACCCTGTTTAGAAAGGAGCAAGTTTCGCTAAATCGAAAGAGGGCTATAATAAGAGATATGACTAGAGTATATCTTGTTTACTGGATACTAAATAAACATATCTTTAATTAGAACCGAACATAATCTCCAATCTGCAGAATGAAAGGTGAGACAACATATCACAATATATGTTGGTGTGATGCTTTAGCAAACCCTAAGGTCTGTTAACTAATTAATAAATATTTAGAGATTAGTTAACAGATTAGAGATTAGAGATTAGTAGGCTATTGAACTTACATAAGACTATAGTATTGAGTGCCCAATAGGACTCAGGAGCCTACAGTATTCTATGATAGCAAAATAAAATAAATATATATATTAAATATTTTGATTCAAATCACAGATTTGCAGAAATGGCAGAATTGGAAAGGTTAGGGTTTAACCTTTTGATTAAATTTAAAACTTAATTATGACAGGTGAAAATCATTTGAATATGCTTTGACTACAATATATTTTAATGACATTAATTTGACACAAACAATAATCTGTAATAATAATGGGATCTATTTTACAGATAATTTCAAAAGAGGCTAATTTTTCTGATCATAGTAATCTAACCTGAAAAATACACCAACACTAAAACAAGAAACAAAAATTGATAGATCTGACTAAAACTAAGTAGATTTTACCAAATACAAAAATTATTCTTAATTAACAGATGAACTTGGAAGAAATAGGTATACATATTTGACAGAAAACGAAACAAATCACAATCACACTTCAAATATCACTGTGTGAACTGGCTCAACAAAGGAGAAAAAGAACACAACACTGCATTCAATATGTACCTGGTCACTGAGATAGTATTTAAAGCAAGTGCTAGAAATACAGTAATTGTCAAAATCAACCAACTTTTCCAAAATTATTTTTTAACACAGACATTAATGATCAAAAAATTTTAAGACAAGCATCACCTAAGTTGCACTTATAACTGACGAGTAATATTAAAGTGATATGGACATCTTTAAAATTAAAATCTAGAAAGACATTAGGCTGGGACAATATTAATTTGGATATTTTAAAAGTAGTTTTTGAAACATGTCCTAAAATAATCAGTACAATATATATAAATATTTTTTTTAAAGTAATCAATTTTCCAACAAATGAAAATAAAAAAGAATCCTCGAAAGATTTTATAACATATGATTCCCAATATATTGCCTTTCATAGGCAAGATTTATAAAAGATTGATTAAAAAACGAATTGCTGATTACAGAGTTTAAAAAAATTCATTGATATAAATCAATATACATGTACAACTCAGAAAGGAACAGACAGAACACTACACACAATGGCTGAGGACACTAAAACATCATTTGACAAAAGACAATACTTACTTGTAGTTGTAAGTCTTGACAAAAAGGGAGTGTTTGACCACCATGGTGGCCAGGTATATTGAGAAACCTATAACAACAGAAATATCCCAGAAATATTTACCAAATTATACAAAACTAGCTTGTAACTAGACAATTTATATACAAAACTAGTTTATTTACTTTATTATTTAAAAAAATAATTTTTTTTTAAATTGAGGGATGTCACAAGGACACTGACTACCAAAAATCCTCTAGAAATTCCAAATGAACAAGGTTTTCTGAATCGATCTACTTACTGACACTGATTTAATAGCCTGTGCTAACTTAAAACTGTTATAAACAGAAAAAATTGTATTGAGAACTACATTTAGTATTGACACTAAAGGCATGATTTAAACATACTTTCAACAATGACAAAACATTATATTTTGTTTAAACTAAGGAAAAGACCAGACCAGCACTTAATATTAAACTTGACATAAAATAATAATAAAAATGGCCCAATCTAAAGAACTCACAGATTCTTCAAGAAATAAATAATGTCTGATTTCAGATCGGGCAATTAAACATCACATTTTTCTAATGATACTAATTGACATTGATACTAAGGTTGACTATAATGTTGTCAGGGTCGCTATTTATGAAAACAATGTCGGATTTTGACATTTACATCGAAAAAGTGGCAAATCAATTTTTCCTAACTTTTCGGATTTAATTGATATTAGGGTCGACAATAATGTAGTTAGGAGTGCTACTTATGAAAATAATGTCAGATTTCAGATTGCGCATCACGTTTTCCTAACTTTGGATTTAATTGATATTAAGGATCAGTTATAATGTTATCAGGGGTGCTATTTATGAAAATAATGTCGGATTTCAGATTGCACATCCCTTTTTCTTAACTTTTTTTATTTATTTGATATCAGGATTGATTATAATGTTGTCTAGGAAAAAAGTTTTGATTTTCTGATTGCAAGTTGCACATGATGTTTTTCTAACAATTGGGACAAATATAAGGGTACACTATAATGTTATCGAAGCCGATTTTTGTAGGATTTTTATTGACATAAAAAAGCAACTTTTGAATGCTATTACAAAGTTTTCAGTCAAAAAAATTTCTTTTTATATCCCCTATTAAAATCTGATTTAATTGGTCAAGCAAAAACTATGAGCTACTGGGATATAATTTTAAAACATTATGAATTTATTGTGCTGGATATGTTACAACACGTAATTCTTGTACAATAATTCTATGTTAGTGTAGGTTTGTTATTAGATTTGATCATTGAATTATATTATTTCTAGAAATAAAAATGATATTTAAACTAATTCTGTGGTTATAGTGGCATTGCCATTTCTAAATTGTTTACAGGACTTATATCAAAAATATCGTCAGAATAAACTGAAAACATAGATAAAATTTTAGATATAGAATCATATATAACATAATTATGTAATGAAAATATTCCATTGCAAACTATGAAGACCAGTGCAAGAGCAATAATTGTTTATCTTTTACCTTTTTTAATACTATTAAACACTATTCTTTAATTTATAAATATTTACTGAAATAATGGTTTCCGAAAGATAATTCAGATTTTTCAAACATTGGAAGAAAATACTAATATTTATGAAAATCGATAGGATTAGAAAGATTTTTTTGGACAAGCTTTTTTATTTAAATCTGAAGAATTTTATAAATTTTTGAATGTATTTACATTTATATTATATTATAAAGGAGGATCTTTTTTAGGTAAAACACCTCACACAACATAATAAAGGACTCAGATTCAACTAGTTACAAAAAAGTGATATCGATTAAAACCGAAAGTAAGGAAAACGTGATCCTCGATAGCTCAATCCGAAATCCAAAATTGTTTCTTTATTAAGCACCCTCAAAAAAACATAATAGTTGATTAAAATATCGATTAAAATAAAAAAGTAAAACAAAAATCGTAATGGTCAATCTGAAATCTGACAGTATTTTCATAAAAAGCGCTCCTGACAATATTAGAGCAAATCCTAATATCAATTAAATCCGTAAAGTTAGGAAAATGTGATGCGGAATTGGGCAATCTGAAATCCGACAGTATTTTCATAAAAAGCGCCCCAACATTATTGTGGACCCTAATATCAATTAAATCTGAAAAGTTAGGAAAATGTGATGCACAATAGCTTAGACGATATGAAGATCAGTTTGATGAAAAAAGTGAGGCCATTTTTTTTTTTTTTTTTTGAACATTTCAACTTTATCCAAGCGTGCAGCTCAAAAACATTTGAGAATAAAAACCTATTAGCCCTTGGTACAGACCCCTTTTTATCAAATTATTAGCATCTGCTTGAAACTTTGTAAATAGCTTCATACAACTAATTTATTTACAGAAATTCTCGGAATTGGGATGTTTTCCATCTGGAGATCGGCAAATTTTGTCTAATTAATTAGGTACTAACAACTCGTAAATTCATTTGTTTTTCACTTCAATCGTAAGATAATTTGATCACCAAATCGAGAGAAAAAGGTGGTCTACAAAAATATTGGACCATGACTATATGACCTATTGGACAAAAATATAAGACCTACACCCCACCATTTTTGCTAAACAGCCTAATATTTTTGAAGGCCATCTTTTTATTCTTGATTTTGTATCAAATTATCTTACGAACCAAATGGAAAATCTACAAGTTTTTAGTACCTAATTAAATAGACAATGTTTGCCAATCTGCAGATTGAAAACGCCCCAATTCTACGAGTTTTCATAAATAAAATAGTTTTAGGTTACGACGAGATGAAGATTCTCACGAATTTTCAGCTTATGTTAATAATTTGATAAAAAGAGGTCTGTACCATGGACCATATAGAATAAAAGTTTTAGATAATTTTATAAACTTGCATTTATTCCATAACAATTTTCTCCTGTGACCCACCCTTTTCAAGATGTAAGCGAAATCCTGAAAATTGTGATCTTTTCTCCCTTCCCTCTCCCTCTGGCTCACCACCTAGACGTCAGGCCTTTTGATATGCCCACACCCTAAGCACTCTGAACAAGCTTGTGAAGGAATTGCTTAGGTCCCTGCTCAGACACTATATACCTCATTCCTTGACTGAACTAATTACTTAATTATGAACTTTTTTTATTATTTCAAAATTCAATATGTTTTATATCACTTGAATTATATTGCACCTCAAATTTTCACAATTTTTCTCTTTTACGCAAGTACACCATTAAATCATAGATTAATAAAATACTATAAAACTTACTGCTGCCCTATGCTGTGATGAAGGAGTGATAGAAATAGCAGAATTCAATTGTCTAGTAAGAACAGGCTGGCTAGAGGCTACAGGTTGAGTCCTGCCACTAGGAACAACCTAAAACAAATAATTAAATGAAAAATAAGTTAAAAGGAGGTAAAACTTCTACTAATATTGTTATTTGTATACTAAATCTTCATAATGAAACATGTATGTATATTCTTTGTGTATTCCCAGCTTGAAATACGAAGGATTACAATGGAAAATATTAATTCCTTATGTATTCTATAATACAAGTGGTTTCATATTTAAAAAATCTGGTGTGGTGCACGCATCTCACAACTTCTCTTACCAACCTTAGAGTACAAAGGTATTTTCATATATATGGAAGTAAAAATGAAAACGACGGTACAATTTCATTTAAAACAATTAATTACCATGTTTTTCTCACCCATAAAATCGGTTAAATTTATGCATTTGCATCATTTTCTGTTTCCTTTTATGACTGTTCATAGTATTAAATAATACTAATGACTGTGGGGAAAAATGGATCTATTGAAAAAATTCTGAATTATATCGGAAACATCTATCATGAATCTCGTAAAAAAAATAGCAACGTTAGTAAATATTGTATATTATTAGGTTTATATTAGTAGATCCTCAACATTTTGTGAGAAAACTTTTTAAAAAAATTATGGATAAGTGATATATCAAAGTAAAACAAATTATCAAAATTACAGACGGGTATCGGGTATCTGTAAAGGCAAAGGTTGGGCACTTTCGGCCGTTTCCATATAACTTCCAACCCTTATTTCTCCTTTAGTTACCAATCAATTTTCTTCATTTATTATATTTATCCATTTTTATGTCAGTTTCCAGTGTGAAAAAGTTAGCTATTTTAAATAAAAAAATTAAAGGTACTTAAGAGGAAGAAAATATGAAAATTAGGCATTTAATCTCTGTTTAAAAAACATCAATGAGAATAAGACCTAGATTATATTAAAACCTGCTTAATTTTACACTAATATAATGAATTTATTCAAAATCGTTCACACTCCCTCCTCTAGGTATAGCTACCTACCTAGGGAAGATGATTCTAGGGTATATTTTAATTATAACCTTTGTATGCAGTGTGCAATAAATGGTATTTTGTAAGATTGTTAGAGTACTGCTTCCCCAACCTGGAGGACCAGTGGCTGATGGCGGAACCATGACTGGGCTATGGAATCGCCATCTCCTTATGAGGCTATTATAAATTCAATATTATATTAAAAATAAAGGTATCATACTTACAGTTATTCCACGATTGGCTAGCATATCAGTGACACTCTCCCTTTGTCTTTGTTGGGTTGTTGGTTGTGCAGCAGTTCTTGAAACAAGGGTAATAGAATCTGGCAATCTGATGTGAGAGGTTTGGCTGTTTTCTTCTCTTCTAGAATAAATTATATTATTGAGATATTTCATTATTTTAAGAAAGAAATAAATGACTAAAAAATGTTCTGTTTTTTAAATTCTTAAGTCAAAATTATTTTAAAAAACACAAGCTATAGATTTGAAAATAAGTAATCAATCAATATAGTTAAAGAATTAAATCAAAACTTTTATAGTCTTCATTATCAAAACAGTTTTTATCTTAACTCTCCAACAAAGAGTGCTTCTGTAAGTCAGTCTTGGAAATGTCTATGTTACCTTTGTTTTACAGCAGGAGTATCTACCGGTTGTGGTGCTGGCCTCTTAGATAGTTGAATTCCAGGAGGTAAGTTAGGTACGGAAGACGTAGGATTAACAGGACTTAACACAACACCTGATCCAATAGTTTGTGGTACAGAACCTATGCAAACAAAATTTTAATTGATATTTAAAACTATATTTAATAACATATTTTAAATAAAATAATTTTAAGCAAAAGAAACATAATAACTGTGGCTTGGTTTTATTTACAGCAAAAGATTTAATTAAAATCAATTAATCTAAAACCAATGTTCTTTACGATCTTCTCATTAATTAAGTACATTTTAACCAAAAACCTTACTGATTAATTTGTCACTAAAACATTTGAAAGCTGAATCCATAAAAGCTAAAATAAGTTTAAACTGAAACTGTCAAATGGTCACTCTAAAGAAGGGAGGGGCTGTTGAGGAGGGGCCCAAAAGAAGGTAAATTTTATATATATTTTTTTAATATCTTGTACCAACAGAAAAAAAATATTTGTACAAAAATAAACAATTTAATTATTTATAAAAAAAAAGAAAAGAAAATTGCAAGGAGTTGCATCAGCACTAGAGAGTAGTTTGAAGGCGCTTACATTATATCACATTATATCTACTTAACTTTAAAGAATAATAATTAATGTTTTGGTCAAGTGAACAAGAGAATTAATAATAATTTAATGCAATAATTTTTAATATCTACATAACTAAAACCATAAATAAATTTAAATACAATATGTGAATGGGCAATAAACCCTAATAATATTATTTACAACTATTTTGAATAGTAAAACTGAATGAAAAGTTTCAAATATGTCAATTTTCATTTCATCTTACATAAGGACATCCTTCCATTAAACTAGTGGTAGTGTTAGTCATTCCTGTTTTTATATCTTAACTTTTTTGTGCACAGCCAGTTTACACTAACAGATGGTACTGGTACTAGTGGGGAGACCACTAAGTCCAGTAAGTGGACCTATTGGTCCTGTTTGCCAACACTAACAGATGATATGGTTAAACGTTTAAGATTTAGGGACAATAAAATCTAAGGATAATTTTTTCAATGATTGAGAAACAAAGGTAGTTGTGTGAAAGCATGAGAAAAAAAAATTATATAAATAAAAGATGCAAAGGAAATCTATAATGTCTACCAAATTCAGTGATTAAAATTCTAAATACTTAACTTTTTCAAGAGTTTTTCAAAAATCCTTGACCTTTTTCCTAAAATTCCGGTTAGCAACCTTTTTGCACACAAAATAATAAACTAATAACTATTGGAAATCATTGCTGGTTTTTTAATTTACACATACCTCTAGAATTTATTATATACAGATTTTAACATTTTTTTGTAATTTCAAGTGTAAGAAAAAAACTGTTCACACACACACATGCACATAAGGGCCATTTTGTGGGACTTGGTTAATTGGACTCAGGGGAACTCAAAATGTGTATTTCCATTAAAAAATCAGATCCAAAAATTGTTACAATCACAATACTTATTCTTAATTTATATTGCATATAGATAAGTAAAAGTAAAAATAAAATATAAAAATAATACAAAGTATTAGGGGGACCGGAAAGTAATGTCGTTTTCTTACATTGAATCCAAATACATAAATTTTACATGAGTATTTATTTTTAATCATTGATGGAATCACCCTCATTATCAAAACATTTTGCCATCTAGTGTGCGAATTTTCAATGCAGGATCGATAAAAGTCAATTGATTTTTTAGCAAAATATATAGAAATGGCATTTTATTTTGGATATCATTCAAATTTGCAAATCTTTTGCCACTTAGAAGTGTTGAAATTATCTGACCAAAAGGAAATCCGACGGTGCAACATCAGGCGAGTATGGTGGATGAGACAGTACTTCCCACCCCAATTCATTAATTTTTTCCAGGGTTAGTCTACACAGTGCGATCTTGTATTTATGTGTTGCAGAATAACGCTTTTTTCTTTTGACAATCGCTGGCACTTTTTAATTAAAGATTAATTTATATGATCCAATTGTTCATAATAAAGGTCTGCATTCAAAGTTGGTCCAAGTTTCAGTACTTCAAAATGAGCAATGCAGGTAATACTCCACCAAACACACAAAAGAGCCTTTTTTGGGGTGTAAACCCCGCTTAGCAATACTCCGTGGTGATTTGTTGGAGAAAGCTGCTACCTTTTGCGCTTTTGATTATCATACAGGACCCATTTTTCATATCCGGTGATCAAGCAATAAAAAAATGCTTCTGTATTGTTCCATTGAAGTAATAAGTTGCATATAGTGGTTTCCTAATCGGGTGCAAATTTTGTTGGATGGTTGACCAAAGTTATTTAAGACTTTTTGACAATTCCTCAATTGCCTGACATGGATTTACTGTGACTTCTGCCCTCAGTCATTGCCTAACATTGTAGTTCTTCCTGATCAATACAAATTAGAAAGATCAAAATTACTGGATTTGAGTTTGAAAAACTACCTTTGGCATTTATGAACGTCTAATGCATTTGGATTAACACCGCTAATATTTTTGGTAACAACTGTTTAATGTTCAATCCAAAATGATGAACATAGTAGGATGTTTACATGAGAAAAGAAGAGGAAGTGGATTTCCAGGAATTGCTGCAGAGTTGAAGTGGCTCTACCTAGTTCCCCGGCAATATTTCCTAGGTGTATTCTTTTTCCGAACCTTTACAACCAAAAAGACACCTTACCTCCTTAATTTATTTACTCCTTGTTCCTCTGTTCACTCATGCTAACATTTCTGGAATTTATTACCTGCCTCCATAAATAAATCCTCTTTTTTCTTAAACACATTTAAACAACAATTATTCTTCCACCTCCAAAGCAATCAATCTTCTGAACACATGTAAGAACAAAATTTTGTATTTAAGAGCTGACACCTTTATTTGACTGTTACATAAGTGCTATTTATATATTAACAATATAGTTATTCAGAACAAATATATATTTATGTACAAATTAATATGTTTATTTGTACTTAATTTATTTTAATTTTAAGGTTGGATTATTTTTGTTAACTAATTATTTTTTATTTTCTTATAATACCAGACAATTGTCATTTTTTTGTTCACTATAGTTATCCTTAGGGGACTAAATTTCCAGAGTAAAATTTACTTTCTTCTTCTACAATTGTAATCTTCAATGTTGCATTTTCATTTGTTTATATAAATAAACAAATATTCATTTACATATATATATTTTACTTATTTCATTAAATTAACCGTAATATGCAATAAATGCATTTATCCTCAAATATGCAATTATTCTCAAATATGCACAATAAAATTTGAATAATTGCATCTAGTGTACTAATTCGTATAGATATCTGATCAGCGGTTAAAAAAAATAATGCAAACAAAATATGTAATTGCATAAAAATCTAGCCTCTGCCTCTGCTAATAACATTTTCTAAAATAAAATTTGTCGAAAAAAGTATTAATTTATTAATGATAAAAATTTGATACTTTATTATGTGTTGTATGCATCATAGAAATATTTTAATGTTGCTACATTCAATGTTAATCCTGATCGCCTTTCAAAAATTAGAATTTTTTTTCGATATACACTGACAGGCAAAAAATTCCACCCACTTGATTTTTTAATGTTTTCATCTAAAAATATTTCCGCTTTGGATCGGTCTATTGTTTTTAATGAATAAATAGGTAATATTTTTGTTTGTTTTCAATTAGGAATGCTAATATAGAGGACAATAACCCTTAATCCTTAATTCAATGAAATGATTCTAGATTCCAATGTTTACATTCTATGGAATCAAAATGTTTATTCAGTACCATTAGTTCAGTGCCGTTTCTTGCAGCACATTTCTTAGTCTCCGGCTTTTAATTTTTTCAATATTAAGTTTAAAAATGCCTCTTAGTGCTGAGGATGTTGCGCGTGGTGTGGCACTTATTGATGATTCCACATCGTTCCATTAGATATGCAGCTAATGTCATCGGAGTTCTATATGAAACTTTACGAGAGGCCGTCAGGCGTTTTCAGGAAACTGGTTCTTACAATAGAAGGCCCGGTTCTGGACGGCCTAGGGTAACAGAACCACGGGATAACTGGTTTTTGACTTTGAGAATTTTACGAAACCGGCACCTTACCGTTGTTCAAGCGATTCATCAGCTCGAAGAAGTTCGAGGTGTGCAAATTTCTGAACGTACCATTTGGAGAAGATTAAATGAGTATGGATTAATGGTTTTTCGTCCAGTAAGAGGACCACAGCTGACCAGAACTCAGACAGTAACACGGCTGGCTTTTGCTCGAGAACACAGCCATTGGACTATGGACGAATGGAGTGCTGTACTTTTTACAGATGATTCAAGATTCGCTCTTCGATCTCCAGACGGGCGTGAAAGGGTGTGGAAAAGAAGAAACGAAAGATATGCAGCCTGTAATTTTTCCCAGAGCCAACCTTTCCAACGTGGTTCCTTAATGGTGTGGGCTGGGATTTCAATGGAGCGCTGCACAGAATTGGTTGTTGCTCGTGGAGAGTCTTTGATGGCCATTCGCTATGTAGATGAGATTTTGGAACCTCATGTGTTGTCTATCCTCAAAGAAATCGGCGATCGTTCTATTCTAATGCACAATAATGCACGCCCACATGTCGTCCGCATAGTGCAGACGTTCTTTCAACGGAACAATATTAAGGTTTTAGCCTGGCCAGCACGTTCTCCAGATTTGAACCCCATTGAGCATTTATGGGATAACCTCGGAAGACGAATAAGAGCGCGTGCAACACTTCCTGATACACTGCAGGACCTCGAAAGGGCTCTTCGGGAGGAATGGGCTATCCTCCAGTAAAGGGACATTTCCCGACTGGTGGAAAGTATGCCGAGGCGTCTTCAAGAAGTAGTGAAGTCAAGAGGAGGAAACACAACGCTACTAAACGATGATGTAATTAATTTCTTTCAGAATAATAATGGTTTGTTTTTCAATTTTTTTTCTCAAATCTTTCTTACCCAATCACATTTTGATTATTAAAGGTAAAAAAGATAATAAAATTCCATAAATACTAAGTATTATCTACAAATACCATGTATTATATACAAATACAACTTTACAGAAATATTTTTAGATGAAAACATGGAAAAATCAAGTTGGTGGAATTTTTTACCTGTCAGTGTATTTGATAAGTATCGATACTATATGTATGTATCAACATAAAAGTTCAATACTAATACCCCCTATTCTTTTCAAAAATTAAAAAATATTGAGGCCTAAAATATCAATATTAAAATTCCTATAGTTGACTCGAACAGATTAAGTGCACGACAGACTACTATGACACTAAAACCCATCAATAGACAGTTTAAAACTTCCACTTTAATAGCAAACATTAATGATTAATCTTTATATTTCCACAATCACTGCATGTTTCAACAGTTGAAATTGAAGAAAAAATAAAGTAAACTATTGCTTAAAAGTTGTAACTCAATAAAAGTGGAAAAAGAAATTAAAAAGTTTTCTAGGAAATTTCAGAACCTATCTAACAAGACTAATAAAAATAAGTACATTAGAGGTCACAGTAAGGTTAGACATGGATAATGGAGACTGCATGTTTTTTTAATATTTTACTGTTGCTAATTTTATCTGTAAGTAAATGAAAATTACACACATGTATTCAACTTAATTCCATCAACTTTCAGTAGCCTTAATATTTAATTTTAGCTAGTGCTGGATTGATAAAGATCATGCAATAACTAACGGGCCACACCCTGAAACCTGCGGCCGTTCCCCATATGTGGTCTAGTCCAATAAGGTAGATTTTGGATCATAATTCCGAAAGTTTTGAGACAATAATAACAGTCAGGGTGGTCTATTAATTACTAATGAATTTACCAAAAAACTATTTGTTTAGTAAAGAAAGAGATGGTAAAAGAAGGAACCTTTAGTCTTTTCTTTTAAAGTAATATAGCATATATTATAAATGTTGGCTCAATACATATAGCAACCTTGAATATGTAATTTCAGTTTTGTATGACTTTATTTTTGAGCTGAACTGTTCAAATATACACAAACCTTTTGATTTGATTGATATGACCTTTTGGACTAACAGAAGTGATATGCATGTTCAATATGCACTGGATTTTTTTTTTTTTTTTTAATCGAATCATCAATATGCAACCTGCAAATGTGAAGCTCTTTAGCATTTTAGTATTCACTGATAAATAAAACCCGTGAATATCAAATCCGTATATGTTGAGGAATTACTGTATTTACGAAAACGATTACTTCCAGAGATTTTATCCTCATACGAAAAATTTTAGATATATTAATGTAATATAGATATTTTTTTGCGAATGAAAACGGTGAGGAACCTATGCTGACCTTACTTGGCAGACGTTTATTTAATATTTATTAGTCCATAAGCGAGACATTTCAAAGACAATCAATAATTTCTCTCTTATCAAGACCTGAAAATATTTATTCAAAATATCTGTCAACACAGTTCATTGTTTGTAAAATCACTGAAAATTGCTCATTAATTTGTGTTTTTAAGGGCTAAATAGGGGGAAACATGAGAAAATAGTTATTGTACCAGGTTCTAGGGATGTTAAGGAGAGATAATATAGTACAAAAAGTGTGATTGGAACACATTCATTTTAAGGATTTTTTTCACTTCTGAACCACTGTGCGTCGTCGTTATAACAGTTATAGGTTTATAACAACAAAGTTTACCAGATTCCTTAAGGTCGTTATAACAACACCCACTGTATATTTATTCAAATTTGAAAAAAAGTTTTAGAACTAAAAAAATTCCCTGACTTTTCCAGATTTTCCTGATCGGTCACCACCCTGTAATCTGTAATACAATTAAACTCATATCAAACTGAAAATGGGATTGGGTATTTGGATGATCTATTGTTTTTATTGGTAGACATCATACAGCTAAATATCTTGTTAAAAGACACTACACGTAATCACTAGCTATATATTGAAATATCTATACAATTATGATTATAACTATATTAACATTGCATCATAACATACCATAACGTTGTATAGGTGGAGTTGTTGAGGATCTATAAGATGATTGAGCATTAAATGTAGCTGGAATCCTCTGAACCTGTAATTGTAATTCAATAACCATTAAATTCAGAATCTATTCAGTAATTTAGGATAATAAAAAAAAAAGTACTAAGAAAATGTATAAAACCTAATTCTAACCTAGTTAGATGAAAACAAATAAAAAACATTAATTAAAATTATTTAACTTTAAAAATAGAATTATCTATATAAATAAATAAAGGTTTTGTCTGTACATTAAATAGAATGCTGATGCTGATAGAATGATGATCAATCCGTTTCATGATATATTTTCCTTTCATATATTACAGACAACAAATCCATTTTAAAAAAAATGTTTGTCTGTCTGTATGTCCGCATTGTCCAACGAAATTTTGTCAGGGGTAAGCTCAGCATTGGCTAATGGTAGACTTTTGAAGTTTTGACATTATATTTAGGTTTGCTTGACTTAAAACATAAGATTTAAATGAAAACAAAATATTGAATAGAACCAAAGCTGTGAATTCTTGAGTAATTTGTCTAGAGATCCCGATTAGGCAGTTACTTTTATTCTCATCCCAAAGTACCCTACCGTGAGCAACATTTAAAAGTTGTATTATTCAACCGATCAATTATAACAAAACAATTTTTTTTTTCTTTTCATTCTTAACCGCATTAATATAATACTTTGAACAATTTATTTTACAACTAGCTGATGTGCCCTGATGTGAGATGGATTTTGTACTATGGGAGGGGGAGAATCCAAATTTTAATTTCATCAAATTGGGTAGGAGTTTTGTTGTTGGGCTGATGTACCCAATAATAAAATACTTTGAACAATTTATTTTACAACCAGCTGATGTATCCGGCGTTGACGGGTGTATAGTTAAAATTTGAGAATCTTATTTTGAGATGGATTTTGTATTATAGGAGGGAGAGGATCCAAACTTTAATTTCATCAAATTGGGTAGGAGTTGTTGTTGTTAGGCTGATGTACCCAATAATATAATAATTTGAACAATTTATTTTACAACTAGCTGATGTATCTGTCGTTGGCGGGTGCATAGTTAAAATTTGAGAATCTTTTTTTGAGATGGATTTTGTTTTATGGAGGGGAGGAGGGATCCTTATTTAATTTCATCAAATTGGATGGGGGGTTGTTTTGAATTTTTTTATGGGGGACTTATGGAAGTCAAGGTTTCACAATAGTCATAATAAAAACTTTGTTATTCGGATATTTGTCTAGAGATCCTTTTAATATAATCCCTTCAGAGATAATTTTAATTTGTCTAGAGATCCCGGTTTGACAGTTACTTACTTCAATTCTCCCTCCCCCCAAACTACTCCACTGCGAACCACATTAAAAAGTTTTATTATTCAACTGATGGAAAAGATTATCACAAATCAACGGGAAAAATCCGAAATCTCAAGCATCTGTAACGGGTTGTCGCTTAAAACACACTCATTTTTCAACTTTGTCCGATCTTCCGTTTAAGGTGTCATTTGATTCAACTTGTCGACTCTAACAAATGTTGTCTTTTACATTTTTAGGATTAACCAAACGTATTAGACGGAAATCAGAAAAAAAAAATCCCAAAAATTTCATTTCACAATATTCAGATCAAGTTTTAATTTTAAATGGATGTATGTGACTCAATATCCAATGTTATTTTGGTTATTGTGTCAGCGATAAACTCAGCAGAGTCAAGACTGCTTTATTGTTCCTTCTGATCCTCTGTATACACATTCTGAGAATGTTTATATCAATGGCTTGGTATTCACGCTATTACTGTCCCGCTCCGTACCTTAACTTATGTATGTATGTATATATATGTATATATATATATATATATATATAAATATATATATATATATAATATTATATAATATATATATATATATATATATATATATATATAACTCATATATATACATACAATATCAACCATATATACATACACACACATATGTATATATATATAATATATATATATATATATATATTAAATCCAAATGGAAAATACTTCGTAACCTATCCCTACCAGAATCCAATAAACTCAGTTACACCCCGGTGACTCCAGATGATCTCAATGACCATTTCCTATCCTTCACTCACGATTTTTCTCCTACTTTCGATATTAAACATCATAATTTCAACCCTGAAGACTTCTTTTTCTCCTATGTGACATATGATGAATTACTTTCCACTATTCTAAAATCCCACACTAATGATTATGGTCCTGATAATATCCCAGTGAAACTAATAAAATCCAGCTTTCCTGCCCTTATTCCTGTTCTTTACCATATCTATAACTTTTCACTGCAAAACTCTATATTCCCATCCTCACTGCCCCTACTACCTCCTAACCCTACCTCACTGAACGATTTCGGTCCTTTTTCTCTCCTATCCAACCTCTCAAAGCCGTTAGAACGCCTTGTCCAAAATCAACTCTCCAACTTCCTAGAAAAACGTTCCCTTATCAACCCATTCCAATCTGGCTTTCGACCTGGTTACTCAACGCAACCCACTCTCCTTAAAATAACCCATGGCCTCCAAAACCCCATCAAACACCAAAACCTTACCATCCTCATCCTTCTAGATTTTTCCAAAGCGTTTGGCACAGTTGAACACAAGATCCTCCTTATGAAATTACACCATCTCCCTCTATCCAACAGTGCCCTGCGCTGGTTCAAATCCTTCCTTTCAAATCGGTCCCAGTATGTAGTAGGCCCAGACCAACCTTCATCTAAGACCCTTCCCCTCTCCTGTGGTGTCCCTCAAGGTTCCTCTATTTCTCCTACTCTGTTTGCTATTTACATTCATAACCTTCCCCTCATGATCCATCACTACCAATACCATATCTATGCAGATGATTTCCAAATATACCTGTCCTTCCTGCCCTCCGACCTATTATCTGCCACAGAGAAACTACAAGAAGACTTGGATAGGAATTATACAACAGATTTATGAAAATTTTCAACCCTGGTGATGACTCCCAACCTTGCGTTAAAACGTTGGCAACAATAAAAATCTTAAAATCTGACAGCGTCCTCACTATTTATCACCCCATAATAAAGTTATATATATATTTTTTGTGCAGAGATGTATTTACGAGGATTAACCAAAAAGTAAAGGAAGAATTAAAAAAATCTACAAATTTATAGTACATAGATAAATAATACTAGCATTACTTTTTAACATAATTCCTTCCTACTTCTAGGCACTTGGTCCATCTTTTAACAAGTATTTGAATTTCTTCCTGAAAGAAAGTTTTCAGCCTAGTGTTCAGAAAATTTTGCACCACTTCAATGACTTCTTCATCAGATCGGTAATGATTCCCTCACAACTCATCTTATAATGGGCCAAAGAGATAAAAATCGCTTTGAGTCAAGCCTGGACAAATGGCAGGTGGTCTGGTAGCTGAAACCGAGATTTTTAAACCACAGGACTGTGTTTTTAGCCGTATGAGGACAAGCATTACCAGAAGCAAATTCACCCTATTAATTCAATAAGCGCAGTAGCCCACAGTAGCTGTCACAATTTATTGTTTGACCTCTAGGTTTAAAGTCAACCAAAATTCAACAATCAATGCTGCCAGTACATGTGATTCGGAGGGAAATCCAAATTTTCCTTTACTTTTCGACTTTCCCAGGTATTGTAGCTATTTATATTAAATATTTTCATTTATTTATATATTCTTTTCTTTCATTTTATAATTTAATATTTTTAGTTAAGCTAAATTGTTACGGAAATTCACAGACATTTGAAGGGAAAGTAATGAAAAACAAGAGAAAAAATTAAAATAATACATTTGAAAAATCAAAGAAACAATAATTAGATAAATGATATAAACAAATTATAATCAGTATAAAATAAATTCTCTCACTTGCTGAGCTAATTGTTGTACAGGAGGCTGGTGATGAATTGCCTGGTGCTCACCGAGTTCTGCAGCAGTTTGAAACGCAAGCCCTGAGCACTCTTGGAGGCTGCAATTATAATGTCCCGCTGTTGCTCGATGTTGTTCTAAAGCAGAGGGTGAACTAAACTTTTCATTACAAACAGAACACTGCTCGTTTGATCCATTAACCTGCATAATAAACATATAAATAAAGATCAAACTAATTTTATCACAAGTTTATTTGTACCAAATAAGAAACTTATTAATTTTTTGTGAAGATGAAGGAATTGCTTGTTTAAAAAAAAATATATATTAACTTTATTCTTCAGTTATCTTCTTAAAGCAAGGCAAAAAAATTTGTAGAAAATAGTGATAGAATACGTTTGCCTCATTAAACTGATTCTAAAGTATAAATCACATTTGGGTTTTCAAGGATCACATTGAGGAAAGAATGGAAAATTAATTTTTCACAGAGGCCGCTTGGTGAAAGTAGAAGTTAGTGGAGGAACAATCCTTTTGAAATTCATTAATTGAATATTTATTTCAGAAAAGACAAATTTTATCATAATAATCGATAAATATAAATAAAATAAAATAGATGCAGTTCTATGGAATTAATTTATTGTGATTATTTCATATTATCTATAGCTGCAAGCATATTTGATTTTAGAATTAGTTTAATGAGATAAATAATTCTATCATTCCACCATCATACTTTGTTACAATTTTTTCTAATCAGGGGTGAGATTTTTTTTAAAATTTTCATCACAACTGCAAGTTAATATTTGGCAAAGAGCATCTGCACTCAGAAGCAAAAAACAAAAAAACTGGACACTAATTCTTCTCCCTCCCATTTGCCATAATGATATAAATATAAATATACATATATATATATATATATATATATATATATATATATATATATTTAACTTGTGGTAAGAAATAACTGGGCAACCAACTCACTGTTGTGATTAATCACATCTTCCTACACAGCCTGCATATCCTAAACTAGGAATAAAATGGTGACAGTGGATTATCCTTCCTATGATCATGTTTACCACATAAAGAATGAGACCTACCACCTGATTTAAGTCAACTTCAACTTGACGAAGCTCTTCTGATGCAATTTGCAATGAAAAGACAAGATATCACTGTCTAAGTGTTGTGTTTGTAACTAGGGTTTTAAAACCTTGACCATACCAACATTTTTCTTCTCATAGTATAGTCCTCACCTTAGACCAAAAAAGAGCATTTGGGGGGAAAAATTTATAAAATTTTGTTCTTCACAGAAGTTTTCCTGTTTAGGATCAGAAATAGGAATCAAAACATTTCCCACCTCCCTGATGGATGAAATATCCCTCAAGTGAAAAACTTAATAGTGAAAAAAAAATAATAGTCAAACTAAAAAGAAAGTAAAACTATTGTAGGAATAAAAGGATAAATAGAACTGCTGACATAAATATGAATCAGTAACAACTGACAAAATAACGAGTAAATAATATATAGACTAATTAACTTGAACTTACATCTTTTAATCCACTCTAAATTAATTCAATGTTTAGAAGAAAATATGACTAACGACTAACAAACACAAGTCATATACATAGGCAGTAGCAAAATTGAGGAAAATACTGGTTGCATATGCATTATTCTTAACAGTCGCTGATATAAAACATGATAAACAGTTTCGATTGGGAAAAACTGCTTAAGAAACCAAGCTTAAAAAATAGCCATTCTAAAGGTCTCCGATATTAATCTACGATACTTAATTATACTTCTTCTAAATTATTCAAAATCCACACTGACAATGAAATTATAATAGATGATAAAAGAAACCCCAAATGTTCATGACTTATCGATAATTCATATTTACAGACAATTTAATGAAATAAAAGAAGTAATTCAAGACTTAGTGAATTAAATAATTAGATACAATTTTAAAATTTCTCGATATATACTTAAAAGTTAAACTAGAAGGAACAGAACGGGCTGGAAACTAAGGAGAGAATAGCTTGTCAAAATCTGTGCAAAACAGTCACCTTCTTAAAACAAAACACCTATAACCCACATAAAAATATACATTTTGTATGATATCATAAATACTTGGAATAGAGAGTTGCAACAAATAACTAAAGGACGACCAGTTGATAAATTTGTTTCAGAAGTTATACTTACCAACCATGACAAAATTAAAAGTATACACTGCTAATTGACAGACACAGTTCATAACTGAACATGGATAAAGAGAATTTGATTTAAAACAGTTATATCTGACGAACACTGATAACACTGAGGCGAAGAAACATTTCATCTTATCCTATACGATTACTGTATTTTCAACTGTATTTGAATGGTGCTACCTAATAAGAAGTATTATTCTACAAAGAGATAACTGGCCGCTCAAGGAAAAGAATATTTTCAAGAAATATCAGTAAGGAACTGAAGAAATTTACTAACTAATTAAGTCCGATATTTTGTTATTTACATTTTTTTTTTTTTTTTTTTTGGCTTCTCTTTTACTCTTTTTCTGTTGTTTTTTGTGTTTTTTTCCCATTGTTTTTATTTCATGTGTTTAATTAGGAAGTTAGAACTTTTCGATATTTCTTCATTGTTTTACTTTTGTTTGATTTTCTTTTAAATCGCTTACTAATCTGAAACCAATTTATTTTATAACTATCATAATGTAAGTTGTAACTTTCATAAAACTATGCCCTTACATTGATATATTTATTATACTTTATGCATGGAGCCTATAGAAATTAACAAATACACGCCTAACTGTATGAGGAAAGGGGGGAAAAAATAAAGAAAGAAAAAATAACAAACAAATAATAAGTGGAACAAGAATGATAAAAGGATTAATTAAAATAATGGATATTTTTTAGAGGAAGATGGTCCGGGATGGCGGTCAGAAATAGACTATTTCAAAATCTAATCAAAATCAGAACTATTTTATTTCAAGCCAACATTTCGATCCAACTTTTCAGGTCTTCTTCAGGGCTAGAAAGGACAAGACACAAAAGGATATAGAAAATTGTGGAAGTTACATAATATTTAGATAAAAATTATAAACAGTTAGTACATTAAAATATTAAGAACATTAAGCTATATAAACAGAGTAAACTAAGTAACAAGATCCTAAACTGAAGTAAATAGATGGTAACAATTGTTGTAGTATAATATAATATAATATATGCAATTACGAATATACTCCTACAGATCTCAAGGAGAGATTGAAAGAAATAGAAAAATAATATGAAATAGTGGATATGCAGGCTGAGTAGGAAGATGTGATTAGTCACAACAATTATCAGTGTTCGTCAGATATAAATGTTTTAAATAAAATTCTCTTTATCCATGTTCAGTTATGAACTGTGTCTGTCAATTAGCAGTGCATACTTTTAATTTTGCCATGGATGGTAGGTATAACTTCTGAAACAATTTTGTCAACAGGTCGCCCTTTGATTATTTGTTACAACTCTCTATTCCAAGTATTTATGATATCATACAAAATGTATTTTTTTATGTGGGTTCTAGGAGTTTTGTTTTAAGAAGGAGACTGTTTTGCACAGATTTTGACAAGCTATTCTCTCTTTAGTTCCCAGCCCATTGTGACCCTTAACCAATTCTAGTTAAACTTTTAAGTACATGACTTACTTCTTATATTTCATTAAATTCATTCATGTAAGTCAAGAACATTTGGGGTTTATTTTATTTATCTATAGTTTTCTAAAATACTAAACGGTCAACTATTAAGTATTCAATGGATATTTTACAGTGTATGTGCGATTGTTGATGTTTTATTTTAGAAATAGTAATTATAAATAAACATTAAGCTTTATAAATAAATACCATTCCAAAAAGGTCTTCGGATTTCCTCACACTAATCACTGGTCGTTGATGACTATCTTCTGGAGTTGGGGTAGCTTCCTTTTCCCAGTTCTCACCATCAGTTTCAGGTGTTTCTGGCATTTCAACACCATCTTCTGGCTTTATTGAAATTTTGTCCATTTCTACCGTTCCATTTCCTACATCAGTTAAAGATAAATAATTGTATACATATATATATATATATATATATATAAACATATAAACATATAAAGATATATAAATATATAAACTTATAAGATAAGAAAAATAATTTAAATTCTTTTTTTTTTCTTTATTTCTTTATGACATTTACAACTGTATTACATAAATACAAATACATCAAGTAAATTTGGACATAATTGATATAATGACTTGAATACACTTGCTGAGTAACTACCCAATGGTAGCACTCTAATTATTTAAATTCTAAAGCTATTAGTTATTCAATGAGTTCAACAAGTAATAACTTTATAGACCAAACACTAATACTACAGGCAAGAGAACATAAATAACTTAGCTTAAATTTAGCAATACAAACAAGTTATGATTAACCTGATACTGATGCACAGCAGTATTATAAAATGCTGAAATTTCACAAGAAAATTAAAATCTTTAATGTTTTCTTTTCTCTAAAACTTTTATATCCTTAAGACAAGAAAGTTGATAACTAAAAATGAGTAATAAATAACCGTTTTAATGATCTTGTAATTATAAAATTGAACTTTAAAGTTGTTATTTTAGGAGATATTACATAGCTCTTAATCCGTATATAAGACAACATACATGTATATACATTGGCTTACATAATTAATATATATATATATATATATATTATATATATATATATATATATATATATAGCATTTTCAAGTCAATTGCAACCTTTTCCAAGTCAAATTCAACCTTTTCCAAATCAAATTAAACTTTTTCTAGGTGAAATTCAAGCTTTTTTTTATTAATTTAATTATTTTTCGATGTATGGGTGGGTCAGTTATAGCAAAAGTAGTTTTTGAAAATAACCTCCATTTTAAGATTATGCCACTGCGTTTCGATTTATTTAAATTTTTCTAATTATTCGATATAAGGCGCTACTTATATGTTTTCAGGGACATAAATTTTGAAAATGACCTCCATTTTAAGATTACGCCACTGTGTTCCGACTTATTTAATTTTTTAAGATTTATTCGATATGAGGATGTATTCTTATGTTTCCGGAGCCATAGATTTTAAAAATGACCTCCATTTTAAGATTACGCCACTGCGTTCCGACTTATTTAAGTTTTCCAGATTTATTCGAAATAAGGGTGCGTTCTTATGTTCCCGGAGAGATAGACTTTGAAAATTACCTCCATTTTAAAATTACACCACTGCGTTTAGATTTATTTAAGTTTTTAGAATTTATTCGATATAAGACTCTACTAATATTTTTCCGGGGCTGTACATTTTGAAAATGACCTCCAATTTAAGATTACGCCACTCCGTTTCGACTTATTTAAGTTTTTCGGATTTAATCAATATGAGGGTGTACTCTTATGTTTCCGGAGCCGTAGATTTTGAAAATGACCTCCTTTTTAAGATTAGGACACTGTGTTTCGGTTTGTTTAAGTTTTTTTAATTTTTCCTTCAAATTTAAAAAAATACGATGGATTAATTTATTTTTCAGCTGAAATAAATAAAATATCCACAATATTTCTCACTTCTTCTTCGGTGCATACTATTTATTTTAAAGTTAATTTATTATCAGCCATATTTACACCAATTTTTAAAAATTTTGTCAACTTAATGACTACTCATCACAATTATGACGTTTCGGCTCGTAGAGCCATTTTCAAGCCTAAAATAGCCATTATGTACCTGTCCTTTTCACTTATGCGAATTGCAAGCGTCTACAACAGAGTGACATAATCTTAACATTTCATTTTAAAGGTCATTTTCAAAAACTACGTCTCCGATAACATATAAATAGACTCTTACATTGAATAAATTCGAAAAAATAAAGTAAGTCGAAACGCAGTGGCGTAATTTTAAAACGGAGGTCATTTTCAAAATCTATAACTCTGGAAACATAAGATTATACCCTTATATCGAATAAATCCAAAAAATTTAAATAAGTTAAAACGCAGTGGCATAATTATAAAATGGAGGTCATTTTGAAAATCTACAAAATGGAAAAGGTTGAATTTGACTTGGAAAAAATTGAATATGACATGGAAATATTATACCGAAAAAATCCAAAAAGTAAAAATAAATAGATATGGAACCGCGTTATCACATTTTTTTTGTATTTTTCTAAAGCCATGCCTTCGATAATTAGCAAGTTGCCTTTATTTCGAAAAAAAAAATTGAAAATTTACAAAAATTCATAAGTTGAATTTGATTTAGAAAAGGTTGAAATTGACTTGGAAATGCTAAATATATAGTGTTATATACAGATTAAGAGCTGTGTAATAACAAAAATTGCAAAAAGCAAGTTATTCTACATAGTTTCAGAGTTTAATCATCAAGTTATAATTCTTCTAGCCTTTGAATGGTTGAAGATAAGATAGTAAAGTAATATGTATTCTTAAAGAAAATTTAATATTAAACAACTTTCGTCCTTATTACTTTTTTCATAAAATGAAAAAATAAAGAGTAGGTGAGTGAAATAATGATAAAAATGCGATGCAAAAACAACTTTTTTTTCAAGTTAGTGAATTACAAGGACGGATATCACAGAAACTAATATAACCATTTCTATTGAAAACTTTGTCAGCTTTAATTTCACATATGACATTATTATAGATGGAACGCATAGTTGCACTGATATAAGCGAAAAACTGAAAAAAGTAAACTTTTTGAATCGTAAATTCAATTTTTCGACTTGAAATCCATGGGTATGGGGTAACTGACGATTATTTCATGTCTTAAGACTGTAAATAATATAAATTGAAAGGGTTGGTAGCTTTCTATATCTATAAGTCCTCTCTATATATACATTTACTACCTATATAGGGTCTCTATATATCTTCATCTGGCTGCCATTTTGTATTCCAGCTGCTATATGCTGGCAGATATGCAATTTGTCTCATCAGGCCTGTGGATATGATCAATGAATAAGGACAAACCTTAGTATGAAATATGACAACTTTTTTGCCACGGATTCCTGGCCTATTTTGTAACTGAAGAAATTCCAAGGTCTGAACCAGAAAAATCTTAAAATAATGTTGAACCAAACACTGTTATGGATGAATCATGTATCTGATATTTTTCATTCCACTTTCTCCATTTTAAAACGTATGAATTAAAATATTGAAAATATTTACTGCATTGCTTAATACAACTGAACAAACCAGCTTGTGATGCAGATGTGAGTACAACTCATCTAACTAAACCAACTTCAGAACATAACTATATTAATGTGAATTTTTTATCACATTGCAAAAATAAGAGACATTACTTTTGTTAAGTGAGTTAACTTACATGATCAATATTTGATTGTCATAGTTCTCCACATTTCACCAAATAAAACTATATATATCTCTAACAAGAATTATTGGCTACTCATAATTAGTAACTGCTGATGAATAAATTATATATATTTTTTTATATTTATTTATCAGCAATTACTCATAATGACTACCCAATAATTCTAGTTAAGAGATTTTAAAGATAATTTTCTTTCAGAATAATCTCAACTATTAATTGATTGGATCAGTAAAGTATTTTAAATCACATTCATCCATTAGATAAATAAATTGTTTAAAAGCTAAATAGTAAACAAATCCAGTACCCTGTTTTTTTAAATCTGTTGAAGAACTCGGACTACATACTCCTGAGTCACTACGGCTGTCTTCTTCTCTACTCATATCAGTGGACTCACTATCCATCTGTTTCACTGGTTTAGCTACCTGTAAAAATAATTTTAGTTCACATAGAGTAGATAATGTCAAAAAAGTATTTATTTTGATATTAAATAATCTTTAGTAATAAGCTTATATGTGTTAAGTTTTGCATATAAAACAATGTATGAAATTGATAGCGAAATTTAGTGTTTGTTTAGCAGGTTCTTGCAATCTGGATGATTAGGATTTTGATTTTCAAGTATTTTCAAAACAGTACCGGATCTTTAAGAAATTCAAATATTCTCAACCCCTCTGAATTTTTATTGGGAGGAGGGAGAGAGGCGATTTCCCCTCCTCACCACTCCACAGAAATCTGTGCCCGTGTCTAGGATCCTCCTGGGAACTTATATTACATAAAAACATTATAAATGATAGTTAACATAATACATTGTGACATAATTTAACATAACATATTGTAAAGTGAAGAATATAATATGTATAAAAATAAAATGATATATATAGTAAATATGTTTTTTTCTAAGTAATATATATTTTTTTTTGTAATAAATAAGAGTATTCATTAATAAGGCTGTGTGAAAACATTTCCATCCACTTCTGAAAATTAAAGCATATTCATTTTAATAAATGTGAATACTGCCGTATTCACTTTTACAAGTGTAAATACAAAGACTCGGGAATTTATATTACGTACAAATATCACGAGTGATAATTAACATAACATATTGTAAAACAAAGAATATCATACTATACATAAAAATAAAATGATATATACTAAATGATATATAGTAGTTTTTTTTATTTTAAAATAATTAAAGTTGTAAGTGTCATGGCCGAAACTGAGGTTCTATATTCGTATCGTTCCGTCTTTGCTAGTTTGTTATGTGCTTATTATCTCAAATCCTGTTCTCAGACTTTGTAAACAGTGAGTTTATAAACAATTTAACATTTTTACATTACAATCAGTGAGGTGAGTGACTTTTATTAACAATTAGCAACATTAAATTGGTACTCGATTACTAGAGACAGTTTACGTGGCAGATAATTCCCCTCAGCGGGTCTTATCTTTCAAATTCAAGGTCACGGCGCTTTATTTTACGTTCAGAATATCTTGAGTTCGTACCTAAGACAGTATATATTTTTTTTTTCTCTGTTTTTATTTCTTAATTGATTATTTTATTTAAAATTTTTTTTTTTACTACTGAGACTCTATTTTATTTATTTATAAAAATGTTTTTTTTAATATTTGTATATATATTTGTAAATAGATTAGTTAATAAGTATTTGTTTTGTAAATTTTCTTATTAGTGATACTTTTTTTTTTTTCTCTCTTCTTTTTGTATATATTATTATTTAGAGGTATGGATTCTGATAAGAACATTTCTTTTGACGAATCAGATGAAGAGACTCCTTTCTCCGAAATCAGTGAGACTGATTCTCAATATTTAACAAGGCGAACTCTCCAAAAGCGCCATAGAAACTCTGCCCCCGGTTCGGCGGGCAACTCACCTAATAAAAAAAAAAAAAAATCCGCTAAAGCAAAGCAAGCTCTCAAAGTAAATAAACAATCAAAAACTAGTAATAATTCAGCTATGAAACCTGACACTAAACCATCAACTAACACATCCAGTAACAATTCTGTTACAGCCAATAATAAAATTAACGAAATCACTGAACCTAGAACTTTCACTGAACCAGTGCCACCTCCGATTTATGTAAGCAAGATTGACAATTTCATTCAGTTCGGTCAAGAAATAGCTAATCTGATCGGACCGACCAACTTCCGGTGTTTTTCTCGAGTCAACGATATAAAGATTAACACCAATACTAAAGATGATATAAAAAAACTTATAAATCATTTGACAGCACTCAATCACGACTTCCACTGCTATCAACTAAAAGAAGACAAAACATATAGAGTGGTTTTGAGAGGTCTTCACTCTACCACACCCACTACCGCTATAAAAAAAGATCTGGAAGATATCGGCCATTCGGTAAGACATATATCTTCTATTTTACATCCTATTGATCCTTCAATCTCTCACGATGAGAACTAAGCCCCTAGCTGTTCTTTTATGGAATGCTAACGGACTACAAAACCACCGAGACGAACTCGACATTTTTCTTCATGACTATCACATTGATATTGCTCTACTGACAGAGTTCAGTCGAAGACTCACTTCACTCGACGTTCATATTTCTACATACGTGACTATATCACTTATAGATCAGACCACCCCGACAACACTTCCCATGCCGGTTCTTGCATCCTTATCCATAAATCCTTATCCCATTCTCTCATTCCTTCTACTCCAACGGAGGCTATTCAAGCAACCTCGGTTATCATTTCAACTCGTCCTTTCCATTTAACATTCTCAGCTGTATACTGTCCTCCCGGTCATACTCTTACCTATAACTTACTTGAATCCTTATTTAAATCCTTCGGATCGCGCTTTATTGCTGGAGGAGACTACAATGCTAAACACCAACGATGGGGTTGTCGATCATCCAACTCCCGTGGTAACATACTATCTTCTGTCTCAACTTCCAATAGTTACTCTGTCCTCTCTCCTATGAATCCTACCTATTGGCCAACATCCCTCAAAAAACGCCCTGATATCCTCGACATATTTGTCACCTCCCAAATTTCCTCTTCCCATGTCACAATAAAATCCCTGGATGACCTCTCCTCAGATCATTCTCCAGTTCTGCTTTCATTACACACAACCTTCGCTCCTAAGCCCTCGTCCTCTCCTACACTGATTACAGGACGAGTAAACTGGGACAATTTTCGTAAAGACCTGGAAAATAAATTGGACCTAAATATTCCACTTAAGACGAAACGTGATATTGACACAGCCATAAAAGAACTTACTACTCTATAAGTGACAAAATAAAGAATAATACATCTACCAATAAAACTGACAACTCCCAACAGACAAATTTGCCGCAGCATATTCGTATCTTATTAAGGGAAAAACGCAGAGCAAGATCGAAGTGGCACAGGACTAGATATCCATCAGATAAGACATATTACACAGATTAACTAACCAACTAAAAGCTGAAATTAGAAAATACCAAGTTCAAAATTTACATAACATGACAGAAAAACTTACTACTTGTGACAAATCACTATGGTTGACCACTAAAAAACTCCTTAAATTCAAAGATTTTAACCACCCACTTATTACTGAAACCCAAACCTGGTCCAGATCTGATGATGAAAAATCTCAAATATTGCTCAACACCTCTCAAAAACATTTAATCCACACCCAGACATCCTTAATCCAACCCACCTTGAGTTTATTGAAGCAGAATTGGATACCCCACTCCAATTGACTCCTCCACCTAAAGCATTTCATCCTTCAGAAATATCCAATATCATTAATAGATTACCTCTCGCAAAGCTCCTGGCCATGACCTAATCACCTCCCAGATCCTAAAATGTCTTCCTAAAAAGCCATATTGTTCCTAACCTATATATTTAATGCTGTACTCCGCACCACATATTTTCCTGACTCTTGGAACTATCCATTGTCAAAATGATACCTAAACCCACAAAGCCGCCAGAACACCCATCCTCTTACCGTCCTATCTCCCTTTTACCCATTATGGGCAAAATCCTGGAAAAACTCATTTTAAAACGCCTGTATCCCATCCTAGACTCTAAACACATTATCCCAGATCACCAATTTGGATTCCGCACATCCCACTCCACTATTCAGCAATGCCATCGTGTGGTAGATGTAGTCTCCTCTGCATTGGAGCGCGGAATGTACTGCACGGGAGTCTTTCTCGACGTTGAACAGGCGTTTGATAGAGTCTGGCATCCGGGACTGATGTACAAACTCCGTGAATTCCTACCATCTACATACTTCCTCATTATACGTTCCTACCTTACTGACAGATACTTCAAAGTCAATCATAACAATGCTTATTCATCTCTTTTTACTCAGTCTGCCGGTGTTCCTCAAGGTAGTATCCTAGGTCCTATCCTTTACACAGTTTATACAGCTGACATCCCAACCCAATCCAACACTGTCATCACCACCTATGCCGATGACACGTGTATCCTATCAGTTAATAACGAACCTTTAATTGCATCCCAAACTCTTCAATCACATATCACAAGCCTTGAAGAATGGTGTAAAAATTGGAGAATAAAAATAAATTCCAACAAATCCCATCAAATCACTTTTACCCTCCGTCGTAAACCTATGACCTCTTGTCCTACAGTATCCTTCAATAATACTCACTTATTCCTGTTGAGCAAATCCGCTACTTAGGACTCCACCTTGACAAACGACTCACTTGGAACCCCCATACCAGACTGAAACGACTAGAAACCGCCCGACGTTTTCGACTACTGCAGCACTTACTAGACAAACGATCTAAGCTTTCAATCAATTATAAACGACTCGTATATGACAATAATAAGACCTATTTGGACTTACGGAATTGAGCTTTGGGGCTCCACTAAACCATCGAATTCCTCTCGTATCCAATCCTTACAATCCAAAATCCTTCGTAAAATCCTCAACGCTCCTTACTTTGTCACAAATAAAATCATCCATAAAGACCTTAATGTTCCATATGTTTCCGATCTGGCCCAATCCAGATACCTTTCCTTCCATAACAAATTGCAGAATCATCCGAATCCTCTCGTTTCAAACCTTGCTTCCTCCTCGATCCCTGATAACCCTCCGAGGCGTCTGAAAAGAAGATGGCCTCGGGATCTTCTAATATAGAACTTTAATTTGAGTTCTACCAATGGTAGTTTCTCTTCATGTTGTACATGCCATGTTACAAATTTCTCATTTACTTATTGTATTCTCTATGTAATACAGTTGTAAATTTCATTGAAATAATAAAAAAAAAAAAAAAAAAAAAAAAAAAATAATTAAATTCTTTTTAACAAATATATATTTTTTAATAAATAAGAGTATTCATTAATAAGGTTGTGTGAAAATGTTCCCATTCACTTCTGTAAACTTATAAGTATTCATTTTAATATACGTAAATACTGCCATATTCACTTATACAATCGT